GCAATTCTACCTACCGGTATGTGGACCAGAAATACAGTTATGATTTTTTATTTTGCACCTTTTGGATGAAATGAATATATTTTGACCTTTATTACTGTGATCTTTTCAAGAACTTTTCTGTGTTACAAATAATAAAACTAAGTACATGTAATAGTACATCAAATAGAAAGCACATACCTGGTAAAGGCACATAAAGTACAAATGAAATGAAAAACAGGAGGAATTGACATCAAACATACTGGTACCTGGGATCTTAGTGTGAATATCTCAATATCTCCAGATGTAAACTGGTTTTATTCAAGCCAAGTTTGTATTTCAGAATGGCCCTTATATCACCAACGCATCAAGGTGGTGATATCGCAATTTTTAATCATTTTGGGGTTTGAACTTGTGGGTTTTAAAGTACACAGTCAAAATACTAAAGAGTTGTTTCCAGACTTCCAATGTACATGTACATTGGGTATATCGAATACAGGGTTGGTTGAGTGTTATTTTTTATTACAATTCAAGTTACTGTGAACAGACGGTGAATTCCTTTTTAGCAACAGTTATTTATAAAATTCATTTACAATATGTTATGAAGTATGGCAAAGCTATTCATATTAATGTACGACAAGAATATTCCTTGAGTTAATATTTGGGTGTATTTGATACTGTAGAGATATCCATTAGCTTTTAAATTCACTGGTTTATGAAGGAAACAATACAAACGGTGGTTTATATATTGAATATTTACTGTTTTTTTTTAATTTTGTGCATTCAGGTAAGAGCGAAGTGGGAGGAAAAAAAACCCCAGAGAATAAATAAGTAATGTCCTAACATATTATGCATATTCTGCACTGGGTTAATATTGTATTCATGTTATACCATGTGGCAAATGAGGTTTTCATACTAGAATTCAATTACTAGGTAATTAAACCGCCATGTTTATTGTCTGCATCTCATTAGCAAAACAACCACTTTTATGTAGGAGTCCTACAGTTGTATTTAATTATTTTATGACTATGGAGGTTTTTAAACAGATGTTAGCAATTGATTTCAACCTCACTGAAATTTCCCAATATTTATTTTTGAGACTATGAACCAAATTGATATAGTACTGCAGTATACTGTAAAATATTCTATCTACGCTTGGAATTAATTTTCGTTTTTTTCGCTGAAGGAATGATTCAGTGAAAATAAAATCCAACGAATATACTTTTTTTCTTATATTTTACATTCAAAAATCGTTGAAAATAAATTCCATACAAAACACCCAAAAAGTCTTTTCAGTGAAAATTAATTCCAGTTAAAATAAAGTATTTAACAGTAAGTAAATTACTAACTGAAATAAGTCACTAAGATTTCCTGTCTGATGAAGGATAAATTCAGTTATAAAACCTTATTATTTTGTCTATGAAGGTAGATGCCTACTCATGATTTTAAAAACCCAGAATTTCTTAATTTTTTAATATATTGACTGTACTTCCAGGCAATATAAGAATATTGACTTTGAAAAAAATGGGGGTCACCAGGTTAATTTTCAAAAAAATCATGGTTGTATTTTAGTGGATAGCGGCCATTTTGGCAGTATATAGTGCTTTTACCATAGGTTCCTATGGCAGAGATATTATGCCATATCTCAAATTGTAGGCTGGTGACATAGGCTGAAAAAATAATATATTGTTAATGATGGCCTACTTTTTGTTTTCCTGAATTTTTTCAAAAATCTGGGTTTTAAAAAGTGTTGAAAAATGCAATTTTTGTTTAACATTGCGCTCCATGGAATTGTTCTAAAAATAGCTATTCTTGAAAAAATGTAGTGCAAGTTTCTCAAAATACGTCACTGTAACACACAATAGAATGCTATTTCATGGTGCCATGGGACAATAGCTCCATGATTTTACATAATAAACCAATGAACATTGTCATGTGATTTATGACCAATTTTCTCAACAAATATGAGTAGGCTTCTACCTTAATGAGATATCATCTAAGTGTTTGGAGACACAATCAATTTATAATGTTACAAACAATATAAAAATTGAAAAAAGAAAAGAAAAACATTATAGTAATTTCACTCACCCGTGGAGATATCCAACGACCACCGCTGAAACAAATTTGGAAAATTTTATTGTTTAAAGTTATAAAAAAAAATTATGAATATATATTAATTATTCTTAATCGGAAAGTGTAAAAGAGTGTTTTAAGCACTATATGCTAAGTTGGCAGCTACAACCGGGTACTACGACTAAAATGCAAAATGTTTTGGACAGTTGACGACTACTTCGCAGAGATCCACCCTCTGTCGTTACCACAGTCGCCATACCTTGTTTGTGTGCAACCTACCGATAACTATGATGAGAGCTAAACGTCCTTTGCTGGTGTTGTTGCTCGACGAAATTCCACCGTCATCCTTCTCCGAACGTACTTTGTGTCTATCTCTTTTGTGCACACCTTTCGATCGATTATGGTGCGCCTTTTGTTGAGGGTTTTGACTTTCATGTTCGGAGCCTCGATGTTTCCTGTTCTTGGCAGCCATTTTGGATTTCCCGGTTAAGCGATCTTCGTGACGTCAGACACGGATTGGTTCTTGTCCGACCCTATGACACGTCCATGCACACGTGTGGTTGCCAGGTACGCTACGCATGCAGATATACACGTCTATTCTATTCACATTGATTGTGTTGTATATTTATTTTGTTATTCACAGGTCATTTAAACTCACATAGGCCTGACGATATATTGTATGGCTGATGGGGTCTAGCATAAAAAAAAAAAAAAAAATTACTAACTAGAAAAACTTATATATTATAAACTTATAAACTTAAATATTTACATATTGTGTCAAAATATTGCTTAGAAATCATAAAAATCATCTAAAATGCCGCTACTAAAATTTATACCTGTACATTAAATTAATTATTTTTTCTTGATTGTTTTACATTTTCAGTCTTTGGCAATATAGGTTTCATTTCTCTTGAAAAAATATGAGAGATAGCTATACAAGTATATTTGCTCTTCCATAGTGGCAAGTGCCAGATGGAAAGCGCTCTGGTGCACGTTTTTTCCCTTTTACAGCTTTCGGAGCTCTCAACTGTCCGTCCATCAAAACTGATGTTCCTTTTACCACTACCCCTCCCCGCTCGTAGTTGAAGTATACACGTACGCGTCAATGTTTTGACACTCATTTTCAATGTCGAGGTGATTTTTTCGAACCCCAATTTTAAGATTTTTGACAATTTCAGAAAATTTTGGCTGTTTTGGAGGGAAAAAGTTAATTTTTTAGCCAAAGAGCCCCCTCAACGTGAGTATCCCCCAGGCTTTTACCCAACACCAGAAATAATCATATTGTCGCTGTTGCTGGTCGTTGCAATTCATAAAAAAAATCGCTGGATATTAGCATGGGGTACTATGATACTTAGACTGGCCCAGTCGGGGCGATTAATTTGTTTTTGTAGTTTAAATAAAATTAAAAAAAACGCGAAA